AAGTGCTCTTAGATATCAATAAAAAGATTGGAGGATAAATTTGGTGATGCCTCTTAGTAGATAAAACAAAAAACACAAAAAAGATGGACAATGGACAATAAGAGAGAAAAATGCATAAAAATTAGAGGACTAGTTTAGAAGGTCCAATATCTGAATAAGAGATCAGAATTAGAACTGAGAAGGTGGTGTTAGGGGGAAAATCATCAATAAAACAATCTAAGAAAATTTCTAGATTGCAACAGTCCAGTGGATGAAAACAGTTTTACCTTAAAGCACGTTGCTTTAGAATTTCAGAAAGCTTGGGAAAAGAGAAGACCCTGCACGTTTCAGGGGTGGAGGTGGGGAACAGAACAGATACAAAGGGTCATTAATTAGAATGGCTTTAGTCTTCTCAATATCAACACAGGAAGCTAGAAGACAATGGGGAAATGCCTTAAAAAATTATTTGGAAAATTACTTCCAATGTAGAAGTCCAACTGTCAGTCAAATAAGAGGCTAGAATAAAGAAACTTTCAGACATACCAACAGAGAAATTATTTCCCATATGCCCCTTTTCAGGAAACTACTACAAAATGTGTTTCACCAAAAGGAGGAATAAACAAGAAAAAGGAAGGCACAGAAGATATGAAATAGGAGATTCAACATAAGAGAGGCAAAGGTAACCCCCACAATGACGGGGAAGGAAGATCCCAGGATGACAACCGTGAACCAAGCGTAGAGGGCAACCAGTCCAGGTTGAAACACATCAGACATCTTGTGGAGAGGATTTTCCTTAAGAAGATGAAATTGATAAAATACCTGATGTATCTGAATATCCCGATAAATCAGTTTGTAGCTGGAAATGTGTATGAATGTGTGGGCAAAATAGAAAACAAAAATGTATTTGCCCTAAGGAAAACAAAATGTGAAGAAAAAGGAATCATAGTTTAATATATAGCTGAACTGTGAACAGCCTTTATTGCCAAAATAATGTAAAAACAGCTTATTGCTCTAATCAAAGTAATCTTCTAATTATACTGAAAAGACAGAGGGATGGGGAAGTGTAAGATAGATGCAAGGAAGGAAAGAGGCCTGAATATCCATCTTCCGTTGTAGAAAATTAATAGGTGTTTCTAAAACTGAAAAATCATGAAGTAGCAATATAAGCATGCCATTTAGACTTATGAATTGTAAATGGCTGTGTCTGGGGAG